TGAAATAAACAGTCAATAATACAATCTTAAATAATAATCAACTGAAATAAACAGTCAATAATATTGTCTTAAATAATAATCACCTGAAATAAACAGACAATAATACAATCTTAAATAATAATCACCTGAAATAAACAGTCAATAATATAGTCTTAAATAATAATCACCCGAAATAAACAAACAATAAAACAATCTTAAATAATAATCAGCTGAAATAAACAGTCAATAATACAATCTTAAATAATAATCACCTGAAATAAACAGTCAATAATACAATCTTAAATAATAATCAGCTGAAATAAACAGTCAATAATACAATCTTAAATAATAATCACCTGAAATAAACAGTCAATAATACAGTCTTAAATAATAATCACCTGAAATTAACAGTCAATAATACAATCTTAAATAATAATCAGCTGAAATAAACAGTCAATAATACAATCTTAAATAATAATCAGCTGAAATAAACAGTCAATAATACAGTCTTAAATAATAATCACCTGAAATAAACAGTCAATAATACAATCTTAAATAATAATCACCTGAAATAACCAGTCAATAATACAGTCTTAAATAATAATCACCTGAAATAAACAGTCAATAATACAATCTTAAATAATAATCACCTGAAATAAACAGTCAATAATACAGTCTTAAATAATAATCACCTGAAATAAACAGTCAATAATACAATCTTAAATAATAATACCTGAAATAAACAGTCAATAATATAATCTTAAATAATAATCACCTGAAATAAACAGTCAATAATACAATCTTAAATAATAATCACCTGAAATAAACAGTCAATAATACAATCTTAAATAATAATCACCTGAAATAAACAGTCAATAATAAAATCTCAAATAATAATAAGCATAATAATACAATACAGGAACCAGACGTTTGATTGAAAAGTGGAATGGTTCAAATTGATGCTACCCCTTTACAATCAACTCAGATCTAGGGAGAAGCACTGACACAGTTGGAAAGGTTTAGAACAAATATTATACAGTATGATTCAGAGGCATGGTTTTAAGACTGCTGGTATTAAATATTAGACCTACCAATTTTTATTTCTTCATTGAGACAGTTATAAGGAACTTCGAACTCCTGATGATTCCAGCCAATCACGAATGACTGACCCAATTCTTTGTCAACTGTAAATGCCCTCATTTCATTTTCTAGAGCTTCTCGTAATTCTTCTCGTGTCTATAATATATTACAAAAACTATTTGACTCATTTCAGATAAAAACAGAAAATGTCTCATCAAATTAAGAATATTCTTGAAAACTAAAAGAAGTTAAAATCCAGATTTTAAGAAATACAATAATCTGCTTAAAGGGACAGGGGGTAAGCCATTTTTGGGGGTTGATTTGAGTCGTGAAAAAAATGTAGAAATAGTCTTCAGAACTATAAATATAGGAAAATACTTAAGTTCTTTCAAATATATCTCAAACTAGGAATAAACGCAGGTAATTCTAGAAACATGAATTTTTCACAGGCTCAACTTTCGACTGTGATCTGTGGGCGCTATTATGATTGGTTTAGCCAAAACATTCTCGTTTCTGAGACAAATGTACGCTTGGTCAAAAAAATTGGTGCACTTGTGCCTTTAAATAATAAAACTAAATTCAAAATCAATTTTAGTGATTGACCAATCAGATGACAGATCAGTTTTCCAGAATAAGGTTCTCTGTAATAAAATAAAACTGTACTATTGAAGTATAATCATTGTAAGAAAATTCAATATAATATCATTGCCTTACCCTATAGTTCCAAATTAAATTTGGTTTTGCGTGATCTTGATTAAAATAATAATAAAATAATTTCCAGTTGGCTTCACTTTTTATTCTCTCTCTTCTTTTTCTTAAAACTATCGGACGGTCATTTTGCTAAAAAAAAAAAATTAAAAGGACCAGATTTAACTTCTGTTACCCATGTTCCTGTCACGACAAATTAGAAACCAATGAAACTTTGTAAAAAAAATATTGTAACAATTCATAATTTGGATTATTTATACCACCAAGCACCAAACAGAACAATACAATTCCTAACTACATTACAGTGGTTGTTATGTCCAATTTCTAATTTATCATTTTCCAACAATAATGTAGTATCTTTACCTGTTTAGTTTTTTCCAAACCTATCCGAGATCTCCAATGTTGTAAAAACTCATCTACTTTTTTTTCTAAAATCACAATTTGTGCATTTCTTCGATTTTTATTCTGATGTTCCTAGAATGAATCAAAAATATTCCCTTAATACAAATAAATTGCAAACCATCTTTTAAATTGATCTTTTTTCGAATGAAAGAAAAAACAAAAGTTGACGTGAAGTGTTTGGAAAAAATGATCATCTCCAGCCACAATGATTTACCCATTTATAGCTTCCTATCGTTCAGTATATTCCCAAAAATAAGTAAACCTACCTGAGCCAGTTTAACATTATCTCTAACATGAAGTTTATCAGCTTCATGAATTGGTACAGGCTCTGTCGAGTCTAAATAGGCTAATAATCCACTTGGCTAAAAAGAATAAATTAACTTATTAACTTAAATAAAATCTAGATTTGAAGAAATACAGTAATCTGATTGGATAACAAATCTAAATTGAAATTCAATTTTAGTGATAGACCAATCAGATGACTGGAACACTAAACACAATTTACACAAACACAATTCAAGCTTTCAAGAATAACTTCCCAGATTTTTATCGAACTATGAACTATGCATTTCAAATCTATCTAAATCTGAATAGCTCTTGATTTTTAGTATGTATCAGAAGTTTATCTTATTGAGTAGCTTTGGAAATGCATTTTTAATTGGAAACATTAGCAAATTGGGAGCCCGACTTTCAGCTATATCATAATTCAATTATGCTTCAATTTTATTACAAAGAAATGAAATAATAAAGTGAAATCTTTTTGTAGAAGCTAAGTCAAATTTAAATTTTCTTGGTCAACCACAACAATTTCATTAGAAACTCGTTTCTTGCATTTGTGGTTTATGAAAATTAATGTTTTCACAATATTTGATATACTTACAAGAATTCTACGTAGCAGTCCCATAGCTGTCGGATGTCCTGTTACCCATAATCCCACAAGATGTCGACTCAGTTGTCTGAAAAGACATGCCATAACAAACATACAAGAAGCTATAAGTTGTGTAGGTTACAGATGTTTCAACATGGTAAATCAAGAAAAGGAGGCTTATTCTGCTCTTCTGGCAAATTTTCTCTCATTGCATTGCTCTTCATTAGTCAGGAGCAAAAATATTTATATCCGTATCTTGGTATTCTATCATACCAAAACTTACAATTGGAACAAGCTGTATTACTTAAAAGTTAAAAAAATTGGAAAGAGGTTTTCTAATTTTTTTATGTGTATCAGGGACACTGATAGCATCAATTTGAACCATTCCAATTTTCAATCAAACGTCTGTGGTTCATGCAATTCCACTTAAACTCAGTGTTTGATGACATCACTAATCCCAAAATATGTTTTATCAATAAAACCCTTCGCGTTTAGTTTTAGTGGAATTGAAACTGAAATCCTCTTTACAATCTCTTTCAATAAAGTCCTAAAATCCAGCTATTCGTAGCTCTTTTCTAAATGAAAATTATGTGTCTGGTTCTTCAGTTTAGTGTTAAACCTACCTGTTTGTCAGCATACGACTGTCGTTACTCTGAGTAAACATGGCTGTATGAAGGTGTTTGGGTAAAGCTCCTTCAGCGAGAGCTAGATCCTGCATCTTGGCTGCAATTTCAGCATCTCCTTCCTGCAAACATAAAAGAGTTTCATGGCCTTGCCTAATGTCATATTACAAAAACTGCAGTTGGTCTAACTTTTCACTTAACAAATTGTTATGGTTATCATTTAAAAGTTTGGGATTTGGATAATAATTTGTATTTGATAATCATGATTGATAGAAGATTCAAATATTCAAGGGGGCGCTTGATTGGTGGGTTCTGCACGTTCAGGATTGGTGGAATCAACCGGAAGTTCAATAAAACAAGTTAGATCATAGTTCAGAAAGCATTCCATGTGTGCCGAAAAATAGCAGGTGTAGACAAAAAATTAAAAATGGTTGAGATGGGAAAATTTTGATTGTGACACTTTCCATTTCATTCTGATGGCAGAATAGGAACAGACAGAACTTGTGTAGAACTCCCCAATCAAGCATCAGAATGTGAAAAAAAATCTAGTAAACTATTTAATACCTACCTCAATGATGGCTTTCATGACCATTCCGGCACCTTTTACTATAGCCATGGAGGGATGCTAGAAAACAAAACACCCTTATCAAAATCTTTTAAAATAAGGCAAGGATATATTTTATTTAAGCGTATACGTTTTTTTAACGTAATAAAGGATGAAGTAATGTTAAAATGTTACCTGAAAAAGTTTGAAAATGATTCGACCATTAGCAGCCACCATTTCTAACAAATTATCAAAATGAGTACCATCTGTGGTTTCACTGTATGGTGAGCAAAGGGCAAAGGTTAAGAAATCCAACATGGCTGATATGATGAGAGCACCTGTTCCATGAACCTGTAACGAGAGAAATTATTGATAATCAGATATGTTTCATTATTTCTCTGTGGAAGAAAAGAAACAACAAGCCCTGAAAGGAAACAGCTAGTTTTGGAAATGCAGGATAATTCCAATATTGAACTTTATGTTAGGAGCACAGTGAACTTATTGAACAGGAGCAAGAAGATATTATTCAAAGCGAGAAGGCACGTTCTGAAATATGAAATGAACTGAGAATTACATCATACTCTTCTGCACATGATTGGGCTAACGAAGATGCCATGAAGTGTGCAATGAGAGCAAATTTGCCAGGACAGTGGCATTAGCCCACTCTTTTTCATTTTCAACGAAACGTGCACAGCCTTTAGCACACGAAGCCTCAGTTTATTGACTAGACGCCTTTTTCACGTCAACCTATCCAACCTGCATCCCTAACAGGGGAAAACTGAAATTGGAAACCAAAAGAATTTGAATTATGACTTACAACATGAGAATGGAAGACTTCAAGGATTTCTTGTAGAAATTTTCGAGATGACAGAAGAGAGGTTTTATTCATTTGTTCTTGTCTGAGATCATAATCATCATGCATTGGCTGAAAAATAACAAACAACAAAATCAATTAGTATGTATACCACAGTAAAGGTGCGGGCACACAGACGGTCTTGGTCGAAGATTTTTGTCTCTGACTTGAATCTTGAGTAAAATCTTGCATTGCCCATGCTTCCAAGACAAGATTATCGTGTCGCCAACAGGATTCATAAGTTTGATAATTGTCTCCAATAGTTTTATCGTCTGCAAGACAGAGCATTATCATCCAATCAGATTCATTTGCCTTTCAATTGCATGCTCCTCATGTAATTATCAACAAGGTGGAAAATGACCGACTGCACAATTTTGTCTCCTTGTGTGCCCGTGTCAATCGTTGAAACTCAAGACAAGACTCTTATCGACAAAAGTCTCCAACCAACATCACTCGTGTGCCCGCAGCTTCAATATGTTAATGACATGTGGTATATATGATTTGTAACAAATAAAATGATTTCCTTTTATCCAATTAAATAGAAGCTTGTTCAAGTCATGATTTTTGTTAAAAATGGGGTGGAGCTTCAGCCATGCAATAATATCAAAATGTACTGGTTGTAGCATAACTAAGCTCCACCTACTTTCCTCTTAGAGTATATTTGGCTTTATCCAAGTATGGTACAACAACAAATTGCTGATAATAGACAATGGTTTTCCTCAAAACAAACATTTTTAAGTAATTAATTTCTTAAAAACATCAAAGAAAAAAGTGCATTTATATTACAAATAAGGATTGATAAAGAGACTGGGTAAACAGTGTTTCATCTCAGCACTAAGATCATTTCAAGAATGCCCCACCAGGCTAGCAAGTGTGTGACTTATTGAGCAAAATCAATACCTGCATAAGAGCACATAACATATCAATGGCTGCATGGGTTACACCATCATTATTACGTTTAAACGCTTTTACTGTTTTTAACCCTACACTTTCTCTCATTCTGAAAACAACAAATAAATTCCAGGATTAAGACACATTTACACGAGAAAAGTCAGTCCAGATGGTGGACCAGGTCCTCGATACTCCTAATCTGGCATGAAGTCAGTGAGTTTAGCAAGTGATTGGTGGGATTCAAGGAATTAACCAGACATTCAATAAAACAGAGTTCAAACAGTAAAAATAGGTGCAGACAGATTTCAAAATGGCAGAAAAAGAAATAGATTGGACAATTTTGAACGCGACATATTCAGCTCCTGTACCGTTTGATGCCAGAATTGTCAGTACTGTCCAATCAAGCGCCACCCAATACAGACCAAAGGATATGGCTGTCTACATCACAGCCTAGTAGATCTAAAAATCTCCAAATCAAAGTCCAAATTTAGATTTACCTTGGCAATGAAATGAAAGCTGAGAAGCCAGCTTTAGATGCCACAAGTCTGCGTAATGCCTGAAACTGAGCCTGTAATTCTTCATGTGAGATGGTATTTTGATCTCCCTCTTTCTCTAACAGACCAGCTATAGCAGCATTGATCAACTTCTCTTTGTTCTTAGCAAATAAACCCTTAAATCAGAAATACAAAACTTAAAAAAAACATTTTCATGTTGATTTTGGATCCTGGGTCTTGTGGTCCAATGGTCCACCGTTAAAATACACCATTGGATATACCACCAGAGAAATGGGGGTCTCATTGGAAACTATTTACCTAAATATTGTGAAATATAAAACTTAACACCATGCCCAAGATTAAACCTCAACATCTGCCTATATTTTTGATAACTTTTTTGAAAGTTGTCAGCTGGTGTAGAGGCAGAAAAACTAGGCCTGTTTTATAGGGATTTATCTGCACCTCATCAAGTGCAGGGGTTTTAAACCTACTTTTTTTTAATTAAGTCTGCCAAACCCAAATATATTCAGAAAGAATTTTACACCATTTAAGTCACGTCTGCAGTTACTCCATCAAATTTTTCTTTTTAACGAAACTGATCTCTGGTCAGCCATTTAAAACTGTGTGTCTAGCCAAAAGTTCAAAGGTCAAAATGATACCCAACAAAAATTTACAGTTAAGTCATTGTAAAGATAATTCAATATCATGTTAGAAAAAACCCACTACCGGAGGATAGAAAATCCCCATAAAACAAGGCCTAGTTTCTCTGACTCTACTCAAGTCGATAACTGTCAAAATATCTATTAGAGGCTGGAATAGAGGCCGATGTTTTGGTCCAGTCCAAGATCTATACTTACATCCTGTGTGACAGCGTGTAGTAAACCACTATACGATATATTAGCATTAAATCTATTGACAGCCTCAGCAAATGACATTCCACCTGGAATACAAAATATAAAGTGAAAGTAGAACAACTTTGGAAGTCAGATATAAATCTTTCACCATGAGGCTTGACATGTCATCTTTCCATCGAAGCTGTAATATCGTAACAAATCCAAATCACTGTTAAAAGTTGGCTAACAATTCAAAATCAATAAAGATTTGTTGCACAGCACTCGAATATTAAAGGGACAGATGCGCCAATCATACCTTAGTCTCAGGAACTGAAAATTTTGAGTTAATCCAATCAGTAATAGTGTTCACAGCTCATCATCCAAATTTGAGCCTTTAAATCCATGTGTGTCTAGAATTATCTGCGTTTGAAAGTTAAAATGACGACTCTGCCATATACAGAAAAGACATCTATAGAAATAAGAAAAAAAATTCCTAGTTTGAGATCTTTGTACATTTGGAGTACAAAAACCCTGAAACAGTGAAAATATTTTATTGTTGAACTCGTGAAAATAAAATCTTACCTGGTGGTTGTTGTATAAATTTTAAATGTTGACTCTCTACCTCTTCATCTACTGGTACAGTAAATGGCCCTGAAATTTCAAAAAAATACTTTCTTAAAAAAAGTCCTCTTTATTTGCTGAACAAGCTGATAGAGCTTAATTTAAGCAGTCTATATAGTCATCTAAATATCAAACTTGCCAGTTGAGTGATGGAGCTCAATTTCAGCTCTCAGCAAGCATCTAAATATTGGCTTCACCAGCTGATAGAGCTCAATTTCAGCAGTCTATATAGTCATCTAAATATCAAACTTGCCAGTTGAGTGATAGATCTCAATTTCAGTCATCATCTACATGTAAATTTTATCAGCTGATAAAGCTTAATTTGTATCCCTTTTCAGAATTGATTCAAATGTACTGATCTCATACAATTCCTGAAAACAAACCAGACGAAAGATCATCAGTTGCCACATGACCATAGAATGAAGCTATTACCTAATCTAAAACCTCGATATGTCAAGGTCATCCGAACACATACATCACGATTACCAGACGCTCGAACACCATCCAATATGGAGGCTACGAGAGCATCCCTGTCTGTAGATAAATACACTCGAACTGTTCCTTTTACATACTCGATGCTAAACTTCTGAGGGTTGTCCGGGTCTCGAATCAACGCAAATACCTGATGGGAAAAAAAATAAAAATCATCAAACCTAGGTGAAAAGGAAACTGAAAGCATTCAGGGTTTACAAACCTAAAAACCAAATCAACATTTTCAGGTATGTACATTCACTAATAACCCTGTCACACCAGAAAGGTATCCTTTCTGCAATTTGTCCTTTCGTTCAAAACAAACGCAATCTGCGATCTGATCTGAAGAGGGGAACCAATCAAATCCAGAAGACAGCCATCAAATGCCAAAGCATCTCCATAAACACAATAAAAACGTAGCACACTCATAGTGAAGATGCTGCAAACAAGTCTACATTTGCAACGACGCATTCATAGCGTCCTTACCACAACCCTTGAGTTTCTGACAAAACCTCTATGTTTTCAGGATCCTTAAGACAGTCTAAGAGGCCAGTGTGCTGCTCCAATTGAGTTTCCTCTGCTTTTATAGAGTTCTTATACGACTTTGGCACGGTTTAAAAAGCTTGCATCATGATCCGATGATTATCATGCTTTTCGTGTGTGATCTGCTATAAAAAGTGTTAATCCTTTGAAAGATTAGAGGTGGGCTAGTAAGAGCCAAGTAAGCGTGGTGGAGTTTTCATCCTACTTTTCTGCACTCTGTAGGCTAATAAAGACACTTTTTACTTTATACACTAAACACTTTTAGCCATGTGAACTCTCTAAAAGGGATGTTTAGCCACGTGAACTCTCTAAAAAGGATGTTGGATAAAGAACCATAATATGCTCGATTAATGCATCTTGGGTAAAAAATAATGTGATACTTACATCACAAAGTGGTTTGACAGTAACAACACTGTAGGTAGCAGGATCTCGTTCCACTAAACAAGTTTCTGTTAAACACAGGGTTCGTCTTACAGTATCAGTATGACGTCTGGAGATTTTCTGTACTGTAAACTCAGAATATGATGTTAACGCCTCGTCAGAGCTGAAACCAAAGTTTTCACAATACACAGTACTTCAGAAAATAAAATAGCAATGGCCATCGTAATTTGCCCACAACTGTAATGGCAGCCAAGTCGTCAGGGAGGTTGGCAAGAGCTATCATTTAATTAAATATTTCGAGAATAACAGTTTCACACTACAAGAGTTTTATTCATAACCTTTTTCTCCCTTTTTTTCATTTTCGATAGGGTTCATGATAATAAACAAATTTCCCCAAATTTTATCTTAATCAGTCAAAAATTTTGATGTCTAGTTTACAAAATGAAAATGAAATGAATGGAGTTTTACGTCCTACTTTTCTGCACCATGTGGGCTAATGAAGACAGGCAATGCCATGCAGTGTACATTGAGGGAAATTTTGCCAGGACAGCGGCAATAGCCTGCCCTTTTTCAATTTCCAACTATCGAGGGATTTTTAACGTGCACAGCCTGTAGCACATGGGGCCTCAGTTTATTGTCCCATCCGAATGACTAGACGCTAGTCCCTCTTTCCTGCATCACTGACAGGGCGAAACTGGGTTGAAAAATCTGAAGGTAGCGAGTTAGCGAGCAAGCGTCTAACTCACTCAGCCACTGCGGTTCCAATCGCATTTACCAGCTAATATTTGAATGCGTATTTAAGAACAATAACTCATATTAAATTTTTTTCTGATTTTTAATACGATTCATCCTTGGGTGAAATAAACAATTTTTTGCACTTTTATTTTCTTCTCCACCTACCTATATTTGCCTAGTCTATGTGTTTGAGCTTGTTCCATTGTAATGGGTTCTTTCCTTTGTTTAATAGCAACCCCTACACAGTTAGCTCCTGTTTCCATGATACTCTTTATCAAATCATCACGTTGTTCTAAGGCAAATAAATGCTGAAAATACATTGTTTACTGATTACAGTCCACTAGTTATTTTAACAGGTTCGCTCTCCCTTTCAACCAAACCTTTAGTCTCAGAAATGGGCATTTTTAAGCTAAGTCAATCAATAATAGTGTTTACAGCTCATCACAAAATTTGAGCCTTCAAATACATGTGTGCTTGAAAATTAAAATGGCAACTCATCTTTTCTATAGACTTATAGTTACTTCCTAGTTTGAGATATTTTTAAAGGAATTATGCGATTCTGAAAGACTATTTACATATATTCGAGACCCAAATCGGCAAATTTGTCCCTTAAAGAGAATTCAAATTTATTTCAAAACTCAGTCAAAAACATAGAACAAAGCCTCAGAAATGTAAAAAAGATCAACTTACCAATCTGCTGAAACCACCATAAATAATAGAAACACCTCCTGGTACATCTGACAGCTAGTAAAATATAATATAATACAGACTGTTACAATGTTTATAATAAATAGAAATCTAGTCCCAGAATTTATCTAAACCTTAAAGACGGGTTCCCTTATTTTCATTTATGAAAATGAAAATGCTAATACTTATATGAATAGAAAGTAGAGGTGTTCTAATGACTTGGAAAAATATCAGTTTGTCTCACATGTCCATAATTAATTCATAATTAGCTAAATTAGAAGGGAATTACCAGCAGAATTACAATGAGTGACCAATCAAGAAAGGTCAAAAAGTCTTTGTTTGTTTATCCAGACTGTACATAAATGTACATTTGGGATTGGTTAAAATCTAAATTAATATGCAATAAGAACATAATGATATGATTAAGAATACATGATAATTCATTAGAAACACCAATTAATCAAATAATTTGCTTAATTTCACACTAAAAAAAAAAAAAAAAAAAACCATCTTTAAAGCGCGTACAAACATATTGATCTAATTAAAAATATTGTCACTACCAAGATATTAAAGAGATTGTAAAGAGTTTTTCTAAATTTTTTATGTGTGTCAGGGACATTGATATCATCATACAATATTCCAATTTTCAATCAGATGTCTGTGGTTCCTGCAATTCCACTAAAACTAATTGTTTGTTGATGTCACTAATCACAAAATATGCTTTATCACTTAAGGCTCTCCTGATTAGTGACTCCATCAAACACTTTGTTTTCGTGGAAATGCAGGAACCACAGATGTCTGATTAAAATTGGAATGAGATTTACACCAAGGCCATTTTTCAAGCTACTTATAGCAGACAATTATGTGCCAATTTCCGGCCAATCAGAATCACTTTTACAACTGAGTATTGGCATAATCTCGTTGGTCATATCACTCTAATTTAGGTTTCACTTTCCCATAATTCATAGTCAATATTTAGACACAGATTCTGCATCACATGCTGTGATTGGTTGAAATGAACATAAAACAGTACACAACCTAGGTGTAAATCTCTTTAGATTACAATGGAGGCTGAAGAAAAATAATAACAAAAACGAAATTCTAATTTAACTTTAAAGAATCAGATTAAAATGACTATAAATCTATTGAATCAAAGCATGGTGATCTATTCCCTTGAAGGTATCTAGATAAAATTTATTTGTACCTGTACAAGACCCTCGATATCCTTATAGTCATAACTACACAATATTCTCTGTGAGGCTGGATCAATCTGGTCTACAGACCCTTCATTAACTTCCAGTAATATCGGCACCCTCGTATCAGACCAATGTAGTTTATATGCATTAAATCTCTGTAATTACACAACTTTATCAATATGACTTATAAACAATAATTGGAAGTTATTTTCAGATAAGATATGATGTCATGCAGTATGCAATGAGGGAAAATGTAATCTCTGCAATAACCAAGCTTTATCAATATGACTTATAAACAATACATTGGGCGTTCATTTTGAAACAATTCGATTCCATGCAGTGTGCATGTAAATAAAAATATAACAAACTTTTTTCAGTCTACATCAAACTCCACATTCTCTTCTCAATTGCAAAATATCATGCATTACTGTAGTCCTAAACATCCAACCTCTGATAGATATTTTGACAGTTGTTGGCTTGAGTAGAGTCAGAAAAACTAGACCCTGTTTTATGGGGACTTTCCACACTTCAAAACATGTGTTTTTTGAAACACTTATTAATTTTGGATGACCTTAAATTAATTCTAATGAGTAATCACCGTTACTTTTGCTTTGTTAGTTTCAGTTGACATCATGACCCTTGAACTTTGGTTTGCACATGCAATGGCCGACGAGAGATCAGTTTTGTTACAAAAATTTGATGGAACTGCAGACTTGAGATAAATGGTGTAGGGAGATTATGATGGTATGTCTGAACTACAAAAATAGCCATCTTTCCAAATATACCTGGGTTTTCAGGATTGAATTTAAATAAATAAGTTTAAAACTCTCGCACTTATGGAGGTGCAGAAAATCACCATGAAACAGAGCCTGTTTTTTTCTATCTCTACACCAGTCGACAACTGTCCAAATAGCTATGAGAAGCTGGATGTGTCAGTCTGGCATTACTGATAAGGAGGAAGTGAAACATAAGATTTTGCCGTGTGCTGAGATCAAATCCCACACCTTTTACTTACACTTACTTTGGAAGATCTATTGATTTCGGCGAACTTGCTTCTGAATCTCTGAAAATAAGAAAATAAAACCAAGATTGTAAACAGAAATAGATAATTCTGGTACAAGTTCCTGAATAGGCAAAATGGAGAAAATGGTGGCTTGGGACATTTGGAGATCCGTACTATTTTGGGAAAGACTGTCAGATGTCCCTTTAAAATTAAAATGTTTTCTTAATGATTAAAGAAGTTTTAATAAAAAATTTGTTTGGACCTGCATGTCCCTTAACATCTTTATACAACTAAATCAGATGATTCTGGACACCAATGGATTTAAGGGCTCAAATCTCGATGGTGAGCTGTGAACATTAGCTAAATAAGTCCAGTTACTGTGACTAAGTTAAAATTTTATTGAAAACAGGATTGTGAACTCACCAAAGCTTCCGTCAGTAAATCTGCTCTGTGATCTGTTGAAAATTTCATGGTATCTGTTTTCTTGCCTTTCCTCATAGTAATAATAAACTCACTGTTTGATGGAGCTTTAACATTGGGAACAATGCTAATAAACTCATTGTAAGGCCACTGAAATAAATCATACCATTTCATTTTACTCTGGGTCTATATTCATAAACCTTTGAAACACATACATTTCTTATTTCTTTAATTTAACTTCATTTTGTGTTCTATTCTAATGACCATGATGCAGGCCCTAAGTCTTTTTGGTATTTATAAACCCTTTGGGTTTATTATCTGTGACTTACCATTCTATTTTAAGACGTCTGTGTTCCTGCAATTCCACTGAAACTGAAATGTTTAAAAGTCACTATCGGGAAACGCGCTTTATCACATAAGACCCTTTGCGATTAGTGACGTCATCAAACAGTTATTTTTTTGTGGAATTGCAGGAACCACAGATGTCTAGCTGTAAATTTGTTAAAAAAAACAACACAAACCTGATTGGTGACCTCCATAGACTGAGGATTGTATGTTGTGATGCCATGAGTTCCCACAGAAAATATTCTCTTATACCTACAAATATATCAAATTGATAAGGTACTCATCTAGACAAAAATGGAAGCATGACTAGTGTTTAAAGTTAGATTTTATTTTCCTGACCTTATGACATCTGCTTAAACCAGTCAAATTCCTTCACTCTCTCACAAAATCCCAGGGCTGGAGTGGACAGAAATTTGACCGGTTTGTTCAAGAGGCCCGTCTTTAGACCCTAACTGAAGTGCCTACATTAAAAATAAAAGTTAATAAAATATGGAGTGAAAGTTTGGTCTTATTTTAAAGTGATACTACGTCTAAGAATTAACATAAAATTTAAGAATTATAAACTTGGAGAATAATAGCCAGAAGGATCCTTATATAATCCAATAAATCCAAAAAACTTAGTAATTATCCATGAATATGCAATTAACTATTGAAAAACGCTTAATATCAAGATTAAGCATTTTTCAATAATTACTTATTTTTATGAATTTTCCAATTTTCCAGATTTTACAGGGATTCTGTTGTAACTTTATGACACCAGGTAAGTTCACTGATGAATATAGACTCATATTGACCTTTTCGAGAACTTAAATTTCATATTCATTCTAAGTCGTAGTATCACTTTAAAGAGACTGCATTTCTCTCTAATGCTTCAATCTATGTATTTTAAGTATAAATACCACAAAATTACTTACTTTCCCTTCCATGAGTGTTTAGTGATAAAATAACATGCTACATCGTAATTTTCTTTTAAAACTTGTTGACTCATTTTAACCTGAAATACATACAGGACTGAATAATTTAAAATTCAACGACCTTATGTTTAAGGGATAAATTTCCCATTTTTCGTGGTTGATTTGGGTCTGGCTTATAAGCTATGATTAAATCCTTCTTAAAGGGACAAATTCGATATTTGATTAAACAGTTTTCAGTGGTATCAGTATCAGTACATGAACAGCATAATTCCCTCAAAAATACCTCAAACCAGAAATTTCACTTTCTATAGTATTAAGAAAGGCAAGTCGACTTTTTACTTTTCAAATGCTGATAATTCTGGATTTAAAGGCTCAAATTTTGACAGTGAGCTGTATTACTGATTGGCTACGCTAAATAATTCCTGTTTCTGAGACTAAGGTACAATTGATCAAACAGATGGTGAATCTGTCCCTTTAATATTCCAGTAATTCGACTGGAGAAAAGAGGATAGAGTATGAAATAAATAAGTGAACTTATTCAACTTGTTGATAAACTACCAACCTTTTTCAATGTGCCAACATCTATTTAATTCATGCCATCAAACCAAATTCCTTTTTTGTACAATAAATTTCATTCTACAAATAGATATTCGAGTAGATGTAGAAAGAACATTCACACAAAAACAAGTGCCACAAAAAATCAGACTGCACCTTTTGCAATATTCACAAGGTTTAATACAAAAATAGTAATTATAACAGATCACATGACTAATAGTAAATGTTAGGTAGAGTGTCACACCACTTTGAGTTAAATGGGTGCCAGGTTTGAACTTCCCCTGAAATTCTTTAGCAACCGACAGCTCATGCATTTGTCTATTCTTTGAAATACTATGTCAAATATGTTGTATTCAATTCGATCGACTTAACATAGTCTTCAAAAACACAAACACCACTATTTTTTTGACAAAAAGGGGGAGTGTCGTTTTTGCATTTCAAAACAATGGACAAAAGTGCCCTGTCAATGCACTAATACGATTGCCATTGCGAATTTGATTCTGTAAAACAAACTTACCAATCCAACTGCAAATTTGAAAGAGCAGACGACGTCCGATTTAAACAAATTAGCTGGAAAATTCAACCAAAACTTTAATTTTCCCGTTTTCTTTTCCAAGAAGCTGCCATGTTGGTCAGCAACTTCCGGTACGATTCTGCGCATTGACCAATTCATACGTTATCGTTGTTTCTCGTCATAAGTGTTGATTTACGGGATCATGGAAATTGTTTACGTAGCAACCAATCAAAATGCTCGATCTGATTACGGTGTCGGCTCTTTAGATATTGGCGAACAGACGGGAATATTACTCTAACTAATTTAAAAAATACTTAAAATAATATGTGAAATTCAACTTTAGTGACACGTTTTTACATCAAGGTATGTTATAAAAGTATTATTTTCGCTAATGGAGATGAAAATATTATAAAAAAAAGCCTTGGAATTCACAAATTCACCCAAAATGTATCGTTTTTATGTGCTGATAATGATATTATAGCCTATGTACTAATCAAGATTGATATGGCAGAAATTTACTATCAATGGTGCAAACTAAATCTACCCCCTCTCTTGTCAATATCATTTCTTGACATGTCATGCTCCATACTCACGGGCATCTGTTTATGGCATGCTTTCACAGAATTCCTTAGGGTAACCCCTATGCTTAGCCTACTCTTCTAGACACCCGATATCACTTTTCATTATGATATCCTCACGTGAAAAGTTCATTGACCCTAATGTTTCGTCAATATGTTGTTTCTATTTCGGGTTTCTTTTTGTGGTTCAGATCATTAACTTAGGCTTTTTGGTTTATTCATTCTTAGAACAAACATTAAATGATATTCTGAATTTTGGCCGAGAGGAGCATTATATACAGAGATGTCATAACTATTGCCAACTGAGTCTCTGTAAGCAGTTTTCAAATTTTATATCCAACTTTAGAGGTAGAATAACCTACCAAAAAAAAAAGAGCTGTATTAAGGAAGGTGGGATAGGAAGGATGTTTGGTCGGTTGGTAGGTTCTCAGAGATGAGAACATGTGTAACTGGAAGCATTTTCAAATATGCCTTTAGTCGGAGGCAGTCGTTGGATAACCAATTGCACTCAGATTCAGTCAATCGCAATTTCTTCCTCATCGGGGACACTGATAACATAAATTCGCACTATTCCAATTTTCAATTAGACGTTTGTGGTTCCTGCAATTCCATTAAAACTAAGTGTTTGATGACGTCACTCATCCCGAAGGCCTTATGTGATAAATCATATTTTGGATTAGTGACGTCATCGAACACTTATTTTTTGGAACCACAGATGTCTGACTGGAATTCGGAATTTTGCAAAATGATGCTAAAAAGTGTCCCGATACACAGAAAACCTCTTTTCAATCACTTGGAGACATTATATGATGCTATTTTGGGTACATGAAAGACACGATTCATTTTGTTCAACGCCCCATTTTAATAGTATTCAATTCTTCGTTTGATCTAAACTTGAACCGGAAGGACCTGCCCCCAAGTCTGAGATAGGGATCGGTAGAATATATATTTGTGGTGATCCCGGTCCCTGTTGTACATGTCTTCTCGATCTGTGACAACAGCAACAATGGCATGCGCATATTTTGACTTTGGAATCGTCCATTGTACACTTATCTGGGTTAATGTTACAGTTCAATTCAGGATTTAACAGAAAAGCTTCAAGACCATCCCCCGAGACGGTTTTCTGTTTTTCGATCGATTCACTTGGGATTTTCTTCACCCTAATCACTTTAATTATGTTTTGATGTTTGAAACTTTTGGGTTGTAGAGTCTCTGATGGAGTTAAGTTATTTGAATCTTGAGTGTTGCTCAGATGGGATCGGTCCGTAGATGGCGGACAAGTAGTTTCTCCTGCAGCATTGGAGTGAGCAAAATCCATGTAATCTAAGTTGTCACAAGCAGCTGGATGATCTAGCATACCATTCACATCATCATCGCATCTCTGTGAATAAAAAGGAAGGGTACTGTAAATATTTTGATTCGTTTTGGGATTGTTTAGTTTTGGACCGTCTTCGTCAACTTGCACAGCTTTCGGGTTCATGGTAACCACTCTTGGTTTCAAAATCTCGTTCGATTTTTGTGTTTTGGGGTAGACGCCGCTTTCAAGTCCTTGATTGTGGCGCAATGTAGCTTCTCTGATACTATGGCTCTTGCCGTCCATGGTTTGGTACACCCGATTTCTCGGCGGGTGAACAACCACAACACTTTGTGATCTAGGTTTTCGACTGTAATTTACAGAACTAGCATCCCTAACCTTTTCGTACAGCTTTTGATAATGTACAGTTTCTTTAACATTAGTTTCAGCAGAAGCGTCGTTGAAATGGTTCTGCTGCAAGTCAGACGAAAGCTCATATACTGCGTTTGATTTGCTCGAACAAGTTGAGCATTTTGTCTGCTGCCGATTAGGGTTCAAAGATTCTCCTCTTGTTTCCAAAACATTTGTTCTTGGATGTATGAATGGGGCAATGTATTTTGCTATTGATTGGGGCACATTTTGGGTTGTAATTCTGGGCTTGGTTGCAGGTACGAATCCAGTCTTTAGTCCAGTGGCTGAATTGAAATCTGAGGTATTGAAATAGCCTTGAGCTTGAGGTGGTTCACTTAGGTAAAGATCTTCAGGATTGGTTTGAGTATAGGTACTTTTATAAGTGGTACAGGTATTAAATTCCGACCCACGAGAAACTTTACACGGATCGTCTATATCTTTCCCTGTCCAAGATGGGTGTTGAAGATTAGGGTCAGTTTCTCCAGTTCTAAGGGTTGGAATGTCGTCGTAGTTGATATCCGATCCGATTCCGAGCTTCTTTAATTCCTTGTAATTTATATATTGAAGAATTGTCACTGGATCATTAGTTATCATTTGCTGTGGCTTAGACTTTATTGATTTCGAGTCAGAATTCGATCTTCCGGGTTGAGTAGTAATATTTTCTTCTGTTGATGGATATGTTATTTGTTCCGATTCGTGAAAAGAGCCACTACGGGACGCACCTGATGTATACTGTAAAGCTATATCAAATCCACAAGCTGAATTCAATGTCGACGTCTTCGAATCAATGTCGCAAATGTCTCTACTTCTGAAATTTGAATTCGTTACTTCTGAGCTACCATTGCAATTCTCTTGGAGATTAACTCTACTGCCGGACCAGTTTTCGTTAAATATACCCCGTCTGTAGACCACGGAATTGCTTCGGTCATTCAACTCATTCAAAAAGTGGTAATATCCGTAAACATCGTTAATGCTGCTTATTGGTTCGTCATCAGTCAAAGGAGATTTAAGAAGCTCTGTGGATTTTGAATCATCTGCAAGCGATATGAATCCACTATCGCTGACTCCGATTTCAGACTTCGGTGTACTTGTAGAAAATGGTTGTTCGCCATCAAAAAATGTGTTTTCATATGGGAAAGAGTGCATGCTTTGTGCACTCTCAAAGTTAGCCTTCGAAGGCGTCTGCTCAGAGGGATGTTGCCAAAAAGATTCTTTGTCATGTCCAAAAGGATCACCGGTCATGTTTGAGCTATTCGGAGTTGATGATCGACTCGAAGATGATCTAGGGGTTGTCTGGAATGATCGAGTCGGAGATTGAATTTGTACCAATACTGTTTTAAACTTCTTATAGTTGGGTGCATTCGATGCGACATCTGCTTGTGGAACGGATTGTGGTATGAGATGGATGCGTTCTAATGACCCACACAGACCTTCTCGACATCTTCTTTGATAAAACCATCTCTGGAATGAAATTGAAGATTTTTGAATTATATGTATCGTCATTGTTTGCAAGTAGGCCTACCTAGTTCGAAGCATTTTATTCTATTCCAGCCTCTGATAGCTATTTTGACAGTTGTCAGCTGGAGTATACAACTGTCTAAATATCTATCTGGCTGGAATAGACTAGCAAGTACCATGTTAAAGCTAAATGTAAACTTTGTAGAGGGGTATACATATCAACTATCAGCTATTTTGAGCATACCCACTGGAGGGTACCTCTCTACCTTCCTAGAGACAAACCATCATGGGTAGAGTGTTTCATCCAGATGATTTAAATTTAAGCTAACTATAGATTCAATAGTAAGAGCAATTGAGCTCTTACTAAGAGCTATGGTGAAATATGGAGTTATACATTACATTATTCAAAATATGCTTGATCACATAATGTCCTTCGCGATTAGTGACGTCATCAAACACTTAGTTTGAGTGAAATTGCAGGAACCACAGACGTTTGATTGAAACTGGGAATGGTACAAATTGAACCTTTCAGTGTCCCCAATACAAATAAATTTTTTAGAATAACTCATAACAATCCCTTTAACTATTTTGGACACGAGGACTAGAATGATACCTACCCTAACAATGGTGGCCGGAAGTTGTGTCCGTCTGGTTAGATACTGTACATGCGCTTTAGTAGGATAAGATGTTACTTTGTACACCGATTTTAACAGCGTTAGTTGATCCTCAGTATATCGAATGGCTGGACCTCTCTGTCCTCGCTTCCTCTTCTTTCTTGGAGGTGGTGTAAGCTTACATTCAACCACATCATCTATAATATGCAACATCATTCACTGGGGGTGAGGCCAGCGGAGGCAAATCGATCAATTAATTTTTCGGATATGGTAAAATTGCGGACATATAGAAAATAAGATGCATTTAAGAATATTTTAATACATAATATATTGAGTGGCGTTTTTATGAATGATAAGGTGAATGGGTCGAGTGGGGTCAGAATTGTCAAGGGATTATCATCCAAAAAAAGTAGCCTACTGTTAAGTATTGCGGTTTTTTTGTAAGTTTACTTTCTAAAAAAAAGAACCCAACCACCCAACCACCCAATCGTCTTAGAAATTTCAACCATAAGTTCGCAGATTTTGGCTGGAAACTGTCCTCTGTAAAAACAAATTTTGAGGATATAATTTGTGCTCATATTTTTATATTTTTATTAGAGCAATGACATTCTAGGACTAACAGTATTTTTTTCTCGTTAAAATAATTAAATAAATTCAAGTAATTTTTTACTTTGCTCAGACAATAGCGATATTTTTTATCAAACATTAATCTAATTCAAATCGGTTTTAAAGAAAATGGATCTTCCAAGTTAACCATTGAATATTTTTCATAGCTCTTACCCATGTTACATGAATTGTCATTTGAAAAACATTCTTCAACGGAATTCTTAGTGTCGTCCATCTTGTAAGCACTATGAGTAAATACTAGGGTCAAGGTCGTGATCGACTGAAAAGCACGTGCAAATTAGGGATAAGTTCGTTTAGGCAAGACAATAGTGTAGGCTAGACCGAAACGTCTGTCTCTATTCCACCCTCTGATAGCTATTTGGACAGCTTACATCTGTCAAAATATCCATCAGATGCTGGAATAGACGCAGATGTGTCGGACTAAGAGTAAAGCAATTTTTACTACGAATAAGTTTTTTTTCCTTTTGTATTATCTTTTATTTTTAATGTAGCCACTACAGTGTGGGTCTAACGACGACCCTCTTAAATATTTAATCCAATAATCTTTTAACCTATCCGATGGCCTCCAATTTTCAATCAGCTAATGTCTGTGGTTTCTGCAATGCCACTAAAACCAAATGTCTGGTGACGTCACTAATCGGGAAACGGCTTTATCATTATAAGGCTCTTCGTGATGACGTTATCAAACACTGGGTTTTAGTGGAACTACAGGAACCGCAGACGTCTGATTGAAAATTGTAATGGTGAAAATTGATACAATAACCAAGAAAACCTCTTTACCATCCCTTTAACCAATCAATTTTAATTACGAATTCTTATATATGCACCTTCCGAAATCAGTAAATTAAACATCGGCAGAATATTCGTCACCAAATATTTTTGCTATGAAATGAGCGACTTTATATTTTCTACTTGCAGGTTGAAACAAAATGGATATAATCATTACAGACGAAACTCTAGACGACATTCAGAAAGCAGACGATGATACCACGTCACCAGAGGAACTATATCTCGAGGATATGATGTATTCTCAAGGTCATAAGGTCATTCTAGATCTGACCGATTGTGACTTGCTACAGATCCCAGAGCGAGTTTTCGATGCCCCGAAATTCACGTGTCTGTTTTTATCCCACAATGAACTCAGTGACCTTCCAGAAGCAATCGGGAATTTGGTAAACCTCGAGGCATTGGTTCTTTCCAACAACAAACTCACGCATGTGGGGGCATCAATCTTTGAATTGTCCCAGTTACAAATTTTGGACTTATCCAACAATGATATTGAAATACTACCCAAAGAAGTTTCCAATCTGAAATCCTTGACGCAGTTGCTGATAAACAGTAACAAAATACCAGAAATCCCTGCAACTGTCGGTCACATGCTAAAACTTCGGGTTTTGGGATTTAACGAAAACCGATTGACAACCGTTCCAAATTCTTTCAGTGGATTGACGAATCTTCAGATCCTGGGCTTGGAGCGGAACGAAATGACGTCCTTGAATCCGGTTATCTGCAAACTGGAAGACATGAAACGGCTCGGATTATCCGGAAATCATCTAACCAATTTACCAAGGGATATTGAAAATCTTACCAACCTGGAGCAGCTTCTTTTGGACGATAATGAGTTTGAATTCATCCCGGTTCAAATATTTTGGCTGGAGGAGTTAAAAGAGCTCGCATTTTCCGGAAACAACGTGCGGGAACTTCAACCAGAGGTTAATAAACTGCAGAAACTGAAAGTCCTGAGTTTGAATAACAACAAATTAACAGATCTTCCGGCAGAATTGTGCCAGCTTAGAGAGCTCGAGGTTTTGGGGATAGAAAATAACCACTTAACAGCTATACCAGCTGACATTGCCGAATTTTACGAACTACGCGAATTATATTTTGGATCTAACTATTTGGAGGAAATTGGGGATGGCATATGCTGGTGTTCTAATCTGGAAATTTTAAGTCTTGGAAAAAATCGGCTGTCCACATTACCCGTGGAATTTGGAAACCTCCAGAAACTCCACACTCTTACGCTAAACGAAAACAACTACGGATATCTACCTGCTCCCATTGGATCTCTACAGTCTTTGGAAGAACTCTCACTTGAAGGCAATCAACTCCAAGTTTTCCCAATCGAATTTTCAAATCTTCAAAAATTGCAACATCTTAATGTTGCCATGAACAATTTCGAAGAATTTCCACCATCTTTGTGTAAACTGCCTTCTTTAGAAATTTTGAATTTCGGTAATAATAAGTTATCGAAAATACCCACAGAAATCGCAGAAATTGAAAACCTCGTTCATTTAAATTTGCGCAAAAATAACATCGGTGAACTTCCGCCGGAAATGTGCAGCTTGGTGAATCTGGATTTTATGGATTTGTCTGAAAACGTCATCGAGGAGATTCCGGAGGAAATTTCTCAGTTTGCATCATTGAAGGAACTTAACCTTTCCCAAAATCGATTCTTCCAGTTCCCCAAATCTGCATTCGCAATTCCTAATTTGGAAAAACTGAGTTTTGATCAATCAGAAGGTAACAAGGTTCCTTCGATACCAGACGAAGTGGAATTCTCGAGCCTTTCTCATCTGATTCTCTCCAATAATGGATTAAGACTTTTGCCTAAAACCATCAACGGAATGCTGAATTTGAAGACCTTGATCCTCGATCATAACGAACTCTACGAGATTCCGAATAATCTCTGTGAAATGAAAACCATAGAAACGCTCCACCTTAACGACAACCGGCTTTCTGTTCTCCCGCCAAATTTCGATCACATGACTGGACTGAAGGATTTACGTCTGCACAATAACCCGCTAAAAACCCCACCAATGGAAATTTGTGTTAGTGGTGTTGTTCAACCAATTGGAAGGTTTATAAGACGAGCTTTTGAACGTGAAGGTATGATAGGTTCTTTTTATATTTTTCTTTGAAACTTATAGTGGATGAGCGGCTCTGCGTTCAGTAAGCAAAACGACATGAAGCCGGAACAAGTTTTGTTGGCATATGTCTAATGACAGTCGACTTTTTTTTGTCGTATTTTCTAAAGCCTAGAAGGAGCCTAGTAAGGAGGCAAAAAAATTGACACCCCCCCCTCCGAAAAAATTCTTACAACCAGCCATAAATCCTTTACTACAACTAAACACCATGCGCCATTGCCCCTCCCGATATATTACTTGCCCTTCGAACAATAAAGTCTGGCCACAGGCCTAAGACATCAGTTTATTAGCCTGGCTTAGGCCTATCTTATTCACCCTTTTTGTTTAATTTTACAGAATTGTTACTGTGTAAAATGTTCGTTGAGATGAAAGATGCCATGAATAAAAACGAGTTACGGTATCTGATGAAGAAGTTTCGTTTCCCTGACGAAAAGATGATTGAAATTGAGCAAATTTACAGCGGGAAAGATCGACTTCCGGAACGAATCTACGCCGCAATGTTGTTTTGGCGGGAGTTTAAGGGACCCTTAGCAACCATCGATGAATTAATACGTATTCTTCATATTGTTGGATATGAACAACTGTCGAACAAATTATTGGCTATGAAAATTTATTCTCAAAGACTTCGCTTCTAGATTTAAATTCTGTACCAAATTAGTTAGTTACCAGAATCAGATATACAAACGGGTGTTTTACGAGCAATTGTGGACGGACCGACGGACATGGACGACGCCAATATACGTTCCACATCCCTTTGTCGGGCGTAATGATATCAAAATGTCTCTTAACCGTGTTCGTGTCTGTTTCTACATTCCATGTAAGAATGACACGCAGGGCTGGCCTCAATCTAAGGTGTTTCGAAAAGAGTAGGCATGGTCTGTTTCCAGCGCGACAACCGCCAGTACAATAAGGAGGGGTCAAAAATCTCATAACTAGGTTAGAAATTCAGGCAATCTCAGATTTTTCGTAAGTAAACATGACTCCGCCACTGATTTAACAAGGAGTTCTCCATAACGAGTTTCTGCAGTTTGTGTGTATAGCCTACAGTATATCTTTGTCGTTCATTTATCGTTATTTCTCACGCAAGTTCCTAAAAATTAATAATGTCCCTTAGTTATTGTTTATTAGTGCTTATATATAAATTTGCAAAGTTGTTATTCTTATTGTCAAAATTTTAATATTTTCATCAAGAATTATTGTTCATTGTAGAATAAAGGATCATATTTATATCATTCAAATGTACCGTTTCCTTGACATTCTAGGCGGAAAACAGTTTATTTCACCTTGAACTTGGCAGCCATCTTGAAAAAAATGGCGGATATTTTTTTTTTTTTGCCCGAATAGCGACCTTTCCTGAAATATACCATGCTAGGTCCTGAGGAAATTCTGTGCCAAATAATAAAAAAACACTAGATGCATAACAATTTCGTCAGATCATGTAATGGTAAGTGGAATCACCCGCAGAATATCCGACACGAAATCCAGATTTGCATTTATTTATTAACAGGTATATATTCTCCCTTTTTTGTGTCATTACATTTTTAGAACCAACGTCTTCACTTAAGTCAAGAATGAACATCCTTGATCCTAGATTAAGTATAGTTAACTATAAATAGCATTCGTTTTGGCCGAGATTCAAATACCTGTCTTATCTTCACGTACAATATTTTATATCCGATAAGATAACATTAAAGGGATTGTAGCGAGTTTTTCTAATAGCATCAATTTGCACCATTCCTATTTTCAGTCACAATTGTGTGGTTCCTGTAATTCCACTAAGACTAAGCGTTTCATGACGTCACTAATCACAAAATACGCTTTATCACATTAGGCCCTTGGCGATTAGTGACGTCATCAAACACGTTTTAATGAAATTGCAGGAACCACAGACGTCTGATTGGAAATTGGAATAGTGCAAATTGATGCTATCAGTGTCCCTGATACAGATATAAATTTTAGAAACCTCTTTACACTCCCTTTAAAAGTGGTGCATAGACGAGAATAGATATAGGCCGACTCGTAATATTACAGTGTAAGATCTATTGACATATAAGATTCATAGATATACGCAAATACCAAGTTACCGATTTTCTATTAACAAGCTTTTATTAACACAGTATATATAGGATACGAACTCGCCAGAGGAAGGTACTAGGATAATCAGATGTCCATTCGATGTCCGATTGCCGATTAATAACGGATACGAATGTGTTTACGATTAAATTTCGGGAATCAAACTACCAACTATTACGACTACCAACAACTACCTAGTTTTCTATCTACGTACCATCTGTGATCGGGGTTTCAATTTGACATCGCACGTGAATATAAAATTGTGATTACGGATAGTCTATTTAAGGGCACTAAGCTACAAAAAGTCTTTTAGTTAGATCTTAAAGAACCAGAATTCCGTACCCATAAAATGGCGTATAGAAAATACCCCAGTTTGCCAGTACTTCACACCAAGGGCAACCATTACGACGTTGGATACAATATAGGAGCGAATTTTTCCCAGAATATTCACATGTTTTTTCAAAACTCTAAAAATGTTCAGACGAAAATCATGCCGTTTTATGATAGTCGTAAAGGAAGAGAATATTACGAAGCTTTTTTGAAAGTAACAACGGATTGCTATCCTCAGTTTGTAACGGAAGTCAAAGGCATGTCGGACGGAAGTGGAATGGTTTTTGAAAATCTTTTTCTTTTGAACATGTCAGCCGAGATCAAAAATATTTTGTATCTTCGAACAGAAGATCAAGGGTGTAGTACCATTTTTGTGAATAGCCCGGATGTAAAACTCCTAGTTCACAACGAAGACTGTGATCCCTTGGTCAAACCATTTGGCTACATGGTGAACGCCGAAATTGATGACGTAGACGGCAAAGAGCGCTTTTTATCCTTCTGTTATCCGGGTATTTTGCCAGGAAATAGCTACAATGTGAATGGCCACGGCACGGTCGTCACTATAAACGGTCAGTATCCTGATGACGTCACTCTTGGAGCGCCACCGAGATATTTCCTTAACAGATCTCTAATGCGCATGTCTGATATAATAGACGGTAAGCGTCTAGCTCTTAATGAAGGCTACGGCTGTGCCTACGCTTTTTGTGCAAACGTTGCGTCCATAAAAGATCCGAAGTCGATGTATTTTTTAGAAATTGGACCAGGGAAACAGCGAACTCGCGTTTACATTCACGAAATTCGAGAAGGTACTATTGATTGCCCGAATTCCCACTTCCGGTGTAACAAATACCAATATTTAGACGTAAAAGAAGATGATTTTCTCCGTAGTTCAGAGAATCGGACTAAAAGGGCAACGGAATTTGGACCAATCTGTAAACTTCAAGACGCACTGGCTATATTGGGCGACACCAAAAATGAACAGTATCCAATCTATCGGACTCCCCGACCCACAGACGCCGGGGAAACCGTGTGTACAGCTGCCATGGATCTTTTGGAAAGAACAATGACTGTATATCATGATAATCCAAAAATTTCTGAATCTAATTTTATTTTTTCACTGAATTTAAAGTAAATATGGACTAGTGAATGTAAATGTTTTAAATCCCAACCTCCCTGCCCCATTTATGTGTTTCGTTTTATTTTTAAAAAATCTGTGATTCCATATCTTGATGTCACCAAAAATCGGCCGAAGTGAAAATTTTCGTTTATTAGTATGAAATCTGCGATCCTTAAAATAAACTATATTAATTTTAGCCCAAATTTTTATTAGCAGTTGGGATTTACAACCCACCTGTGCATATCCAAAATTCCCACGTATGTATTCGAACATCCTCCAAAATCCTGAAAAGCCCATATTCATTCATTTGCCGTTTACCAATCTGGATATATTCCTCCCTCTAAGTCCTATCCAGAAGTTGTAAATGACACTACCAGCATGGTGGGGTTTAAATCTATACCGCTCCATCGCCCCAACCGCTAGTAAAAATGTCTTGTTTTATAATTTCAATGTTCAACGAAATTCAAATGTGTGTGTACACAAAATTAATTAGATTTACAGTTTGTTATCCAAACTATCGTTCCGTTTTTTTTTTTTTTTTGCTTTCATTTTTAATATAGCCACTGAACACCGCCAGCCAATCAAACTCCCGCCCTCCACAACGATGGGATTTCGGGACGCGTTTAGTGGGGCATTTAGTGTTTCAATATTTGTCTCAGAATACACCTAACTGAAGAGGCTATATACAAAATAAAAGGTAATAAAAAACGAAAGCGAAAGTTTATTTCAATTTTTATTGGACTTACGAGCTTCCATGATTACATAAAGTAAATTAAACGGACAGGTGTGGCATTTTCTTGACCAACCATACTTAAGTCTCAGAAACGGGAATTTCTTTTAGCTATGCCAATCACAGTCCACAGCTCACCGTCGAAATTTGAGCCTTAAAATCTCCGTGTATCCAGAACTATCTGCGTTTGAATGTTAAAATGACGACTCGTCAATTTAATATAGGCCTACTCTGTGATATATAGAAAAGATATTTATAGGAATAAAATTCCTAGTTTGAATTATTTTTAAAGGAATTGTGCTATTTTCGTACATTTCTAGTACTTTTGAAGACTATTTACATAATATATTCAAAACTAAAATAAACCTTCCAAAATGCCGCATTCGTCCCTTTGAGAATGAAAATAATCAAACCATCAAAATGCCACACCTATCCCTTTAAAAATGAAAATCAAGTCCTTTTCAAAATTTTGTTAACAGGATCCTCAAATATTCAGTCTTTGCTAGTTTCCGTCATCTGTTTCGTCCGCCATGAACGCAAAGTTCACCCAATGCTCTTCTGCAACAACGTCATTCTGGTTTAAAACCATGGTGACGTCATTCAATTCGCAGACGTGAGTTTCTCTGTTGTAGTTAACCGACAGACACGGCCCTTTCTGTCTCCTGCAATTCATGGCACATGTCGCCATTGTATCCACATTGATAAGCCTGTCATATGTGTGAGTCTGTAGCCGCTGACCAATGGTGCCGACCAGGATGTCTAATCGCTCTGAAACACACAATATTATGCTTGCAATAAAACTTGGCTGCCACAAATCCTTACGTCCATCCCCGCCGACGCAGACCTACTCACCCGCAAAACTATAATAGTCTGGCGAGCGGACATAACCACCCATTACAAATAATTTACAATCTCTTAAATGTAATTCAATATTATGCTACAGAAAACGCATGGAGGTGTGGAAAATCTCCTTTTTTCTTCTGACTCTACACCAGCTGACATCTGCCCAAATAGCTATCAGAGACTGGAACAGAGGCAGTTGTTTCGTTCTAACTTAGTGTCGTAATTCGTAATAAACAAAATGTCGGAATACTCAGTTTTTTTAAACGGACATAAGAAGGATATCAGATATCGTTCGCGACCAGAAAAAAGATGTCGGATTACGCAGATTGTTAGAATACACAGAGTATATTGTACTTACTCGGTCTACATGTCCTCAAATCTATTTGTTCAGAGACAATAGTTTTATCAGGTGAGTTACACTTTGGTCTACCAGTACTAAATCTGGTCCTATTTTGTTGCTCCGATTCTGGACAAATTTGGGGTCTCCAGCTGTTCCAAGAACTCCAGGTTCCCCCTACACGAAATGAAAATAGCCAAGATAAAACAACATGTTTTACGTTCTAGTAATCTCCTCGCGATATAGTGTGCAATAAGGTAAAGTTACTCTTTGAAATCGTCCAAAGTTGGCAATTCTGTATCCCCATTGGGTAAGCATTAGTAGGCCTACTCAGGGTGCTGATTTAGGGTGCTATATTCGTTAACAAGGTATGGGTAGAGGGAAATGGTTTCCGACTCCTCCAGTGACAAAGTGTTAGGCTGGCTATTTTAACACGAAACCTAAGTATTTTGAAATATAATAGAAACTACGTGTACTGTCGGCTACTTACAAAATTCAGCAGAACACAAAACTTTACCATATACATTACACCTTGAAGCCCCCCATCGTAACTGTGAATGATCCATATAAACATATACCAAGTTGTAGGCCCCTTTACATAAATCACTATCACCACTGGAATCCCAGTTATTCTCGTAATTAACAGAAGTGGTCATCACGTTCCACTTCAGCACACTGCCGTCTGCGTTTCTCCATGCTCCGTCACGATGCCTGACATCAACAAAAACTTCCAACTCTCTGCTTAAAATATAATAATGGTTGTGGTTTAACATTAGATGATGATGATGATGATGATGGCGGTAATGATGACAGTGGTGGTGAAATTAAAAACGGTAACGCGACGACGACGCTGATGATGATGTCTAAATTCTCTTTAAACGTAAAGATGAATTTGATGAACGTGGATGATGATGATGTCAAGAACATTGATGACGATAATGGTGTCAAAAACGTATATGATGATGGTGTCAAAAACGTTGATGACGATAATGATGTCAAAAACATTGATGACCTGATGATGATAATGGTGATAAGATAATTTACTCACGAAATTTTAGAACCAAGGGTGATTTCGAGAAAGTTGACAAGCTCGGGGTTGAAGTCTGAAGCAATCCTCCCATCTGGACACACGTTATCAGAAATATCGTACTTGCTGTACTTCCTCTTCGTGATCCAATAACATCTTCCATTAAGATAGGCCTCCTTCAGAACGTCGTCTACAGACTCAACGAGATAGTTCACTGAAACAACGATAATACATGGTGAATGGATAAAAGACTAAATGGCTAACAGGGGGCTACGTGTGGTTCTTACGTGGAAATTACTGTGTTTTTTCCATTTAATGTAGTTACATGTGGCCTTGGAGGGAGTTCGAGCTCACGGCATCAAATAAGGTGAACGTTTTTGAAGGAGGAAAAAACGGTGAATTGAATTTTAGAGACGAACGGTCGCAAGTGGTTACACAATAAAGGATTCGATGCTCATATGCGGAAAAAATACTTACTTAGCATAAAACTGCAAAACACAAGAAGGATGCAAGTCATCTCCATAAAGAAGTCTTTCAGACGAAGAAAGTATTTCTTTCTTTCCCACGGTTTTTGGCTGAATGTTTGGAAAGTTGTAATCAATTCCAATCATACTTTCCACTTAATCAATACAAGAATTTTAAACAAAATATTTAGCTACGAGTTTAATTGCGAGAAAGACGTCATGTTGATGGACGGTTTGGCGAATCGATTATTGAGAAAATGTTTGTTTCGATAAGAAATTTGCAACAGAAAAGCACATAAAAACATGGGTGGAAGTGCTCGGGGGTTACAGCAAACGGATCTATGTCAAAGTGACAAAAGCACTGATTGTAACCTCTGAATCTGTATGTGATCAAACATATCTTGCGATAAGGACGTCAAGAACAATTAATTTTAGTGGAATTTCAGGAACCACAGACGTCTGATTGAAAATTGGAATGGTGCAGTTTGATGCTATCAGTGTCTACGATACTCATAATTCTTTTTAGAAAACCTCTTTACAATCCCTTTAAAGGTGGGAGGAGATAAGAGTTGCTGACTGGCTGTTCTTTCCCTTTGTAAAAATTAAAACAGTAAGAATTTTTTTAAACATCCAGCCGTTAATTTTCAAACGCCAAAAATAATAAAAAACATTACGTAAGGTGTTTAAATTTGCTATGATTTTTGGAAGCTGTTAGAAAACCACTGTATGGTTTTGAGTAAAATAAACGCCTAATTGTAGAGAAATATGTCTCCTAATTAACAATTAGTACTCCCCTTTTTAAATAGTAGATACATAGATATAAATAGCATATTTTAGAAATATTCTTGGGTATAATTTACGTTTTTGATAATGAAAACTTTTTCCAAAAAAGCGGAATACCCCTTTAAAGTACATTATGTACTACTGTCTTGGCAATTGTTTTTATTGAGCCTATAGTGACGATAGTAAATATTAGAAAATCATGCCTACTTCCGACTAGGATTTTTCACTTGTTTTTTAACTCAACAATCAGAGTGAACCTCACCAATTGACTTTTTTAGATTCCAGCTCTTGGTTTCTTTGGTTACGAGTTCAGTCATCTATATTCAATACGTTTTCTATTTGTATACCGGTACCGACATACCGGTAGTCACAGAAATCATATAACAGTTTAGAAATTAAACACATGTTTGATAGTCCAATAACACTTTATCAGAAATCATCATTCAACCCAATGATGCATGTTTGAATTTAAAGGTATTATAAAGAAGTTTTCTAAATGTTTTATGTGTATCGGGGACGCTGATAGCATCAATTTGTACCATTTCAATATTCAATCATCAGACGTCTGTGGTCCCCTACAATTCCACTAAAACTTTGATGTTTGATGACGCTTGTATCATGAAGTCATCAAACTCTAAGCTCGAGTTGAATTTCACAAACGTCTGACTGAAATTAGAATTGTGTAAATTACGGTTCATCGATTCATCGGTGAAACGTTGCAGCCCTACAGACCCGGATCGACAGATTTCAGTCTGATTAGAACAGGGACTGGTTGAACCAAGTCGACAGTCCTCCACCACTAGAAAAAATGCAGGAAAGCATATAAAAAAAATATCCCGGGGGAGGACTCAAACCCACTTTAGTCCACAGGTCATCACTCATTTAGTTGAGTCACCAAACTTTTGTTCCGTTTTTTTCAGTCTAATTAAAACAAGATCAAACCTTCGTTCCGTTTTTATTAACTTTTATTTCTAAAATAGCCACTTCAGTTGCTATTTTAAAAGTAAAAGCTAATAAAAACGGAACGAAAAATTGATCTGATTTTAATTAGACTTGTTTTTTTATTAGCAAAAAATCATAGCAAGAATTTCAATATTTCCATGCCTTACAGCACAACATCAAAATATTATTTCTTCAAATCAATACTTCTTTTGGTGCAATATTCTAGTCAATATCAAAACAAGAAGACTAATTAAAGTCATCTAAATATTGACTTTACTAGCTGTTGAATACAAACTGATTTGGTCATTTATTAATTGGCTTTACCAGCTGATAGAAGTTTAAGCGAGTCTTTTATTTATTAAAAAATTCAGAATTTCTGTTTGCGACTGAAATAGCTTTCATGAGATGCAAAAAATCGAACCTCTAGGATCAAAATTAAGCGAGGGGTCGGCAGACCGCCTTTGCAGTCTAGTTGCACTGTTTGGGGTTACTACCAAAACTTCGACCGGCTGCTGCTCGAAAACTATCCGAGATGTAGAGAAATTTGGATTGAATATTCACACTCACCTGAAGTGGGTCTGGTCCAAATTTTAAGTTTTTACCTTGCAAACTCTGCCTGTTACAGTTACTATGCTTATCAGTGGCTGTACTTACCATTTTAGTGATGACCACATCAGGCCCGTAGCCAGACTGGATTGTTCAGAGGGAGAAATAATATTATCCAGAGGGTCAAATTTTGTCCAGCAAAGATGTTTGTTGATCCAGGTTCAATTCATAACATAATCACGTGCAGGTCGTCTCTATTTATAGGCAGCAAATATATTTACGATCATCCGGGTCCGTTAAAAAGCATTAACGCGTAGTCCATTTTATTTTTAGGTGTATTAGTCGGTATAGTTTCTATTACTTATCCTACCTGAAAAATAAAGTGAACTTCCCTTATTTTCATTTATGAAAATGAAAATGCTAATATAATGAACAGAAAGTACGGGTGTTCTAATGACTTGGAAAAATACCAGTTTGTCTCACATGTCCATAATTAATTCATAATTAGCTAAATGAGAAGAGAATACCAGCAGAATTACAATGAGTGACCGATCAAGAAAGGTCAAAAAGTCTTTGTTTGTATATCCAGACTGTACTTACATGGACATTTGTAAAACTCTTGCAGGAGGAACAATTATATGATTAAGAATACATGATAATTCATGAGGAACACCAAATAATAAATAAGTTTCAAAGTGTTTCAGGGAGAGGATTTTTTCAAATGTGGCTCTTTAAGAAATTAGTCATGAACTTAAACTTGTTGTTTTTCGTCAAATATTTGCTCCATGAGAGGCTTGCGACTATGACACCTCCAGAGTTGCCGCATTTTGAATTCAGCCTCGATAGTTTGGCGCGCCATTGAATCCGTGGCAGTTCGAATTGCTTTTAATGTGAATATTAATATGACAAGACCTATGTCTCTTAAGGATTTTACCCTTCTCAATACAAAAAAGTTATTTGTAACCCAACAATTGTATAGCTTTATTTTGATAACAAATTGTAACAAATTAATAAAAAAATAAACATTGGAAGGAATATAAATAACAATATGAGCTCTCATAAAGAGGTTGAGGGTGCCGAGTTGAGAAAACCAAGCGAAACCTAGGTGAGGGGTTAATTTGGACGGGTAGATGGTATCGGCTGAACATGGGGGTGACTTGAGAGTGATTGAGATAAAGGATTAATGTTATTTTGGGAAATATACACTCTCTCTATTCCCTTAACATTTCGGACTAACACACAACCAGTGTTCCCTGTAATTATTGTAACGAAGTTCAAGTTTAACAAATATAACATAGCATAATGAGAGACAGTTAATACATTCGAAGTATAAGCTTATTCAATATTTTAAAGTAATATATATACACGGTTCTTAAGAGTACACATTTAAAGGGACGGATGCGCCATTATTTTGACCAATCATACTTTAGTCTCAGAAACGGTATTTTTTTAGCTGAGCCAATCAGTATTAGTGTTCACAGCTCACCGTCGAAATTTGAGCCTTCAAGTCCATGCGTCTCCAGAATTATCCGCTTTTAAATGTTAAAATTACGACTCGTCAAGATAAGATACTCTGTGATATATTGAAAAGACATATATAGAAATAGTTAGTAAAATTCCTGGTTTGAAGTATTTTCAAAGGAATTATGAGATTTCTGAAGACTATTCACATATATTCAAGATTAAAATCAACCCCCCAAAATGTAGCACCTGTCCCTTTAAGCAAACGAATCAGTCAGGAAGAGATTGTTTAAATATGTTAATGAGTAAGACAAGTATGACTTGTAACATCAATAAAATGATTGGCAGCTTGGCATTGATCACGTTACCGTTTTATCCAATGCCATATGAAAATATGACTGGTTGTAGCATAATTAAGCTCCACCTACTTTCCTCTATGATTCTTTTGGCTTTCATGTTAAGTTATCCATGTATTGTACTACATCAAATTGCTGATAATAGACCATAGTTTTCAAGGAAAACAATGCAATTTATGTTCAAACAAAAGAAATTCAACATAGCTGGCCTTAGATTCTCAGAAATCTTAAAAAAATTGTCGATATTGATTGAAAATGCATATCCTGAATAATATGCATAGCATTCCACATTGTAGAATAGTCTAGTTTGAAATTGTTTTGAAAAAAATGTGTGAATTGATGCAGTAAAGTAGACCATTATATTGTGTTATGAACCTGAGAACAGAACTGTTGTGTGATAAAAATGGAACTGGCATGATTTATTTATAAAATCCATCATCAAATGGCTACAGTTGCTCTAGTACTTGATCTATTATTTCCATGCCATCCTGCAGCGCCTGCATCTCATGTATCAGTTCCTCTTGGCTGTCTAGATCACTCATAGGATTACTGTACATCTCCATATTGGGTACCTTGTGGGCTGATTCCACTGTAAATGAAATGAGTTTTATGTTTTAACATTCTCTTACTATTACCCTCTTTAGGATCCTGATAGATTGCATTCCTTAATGCTGCCTATAAATCCTTACTTTTTCATGATTTTCTCTTCTTTTTCAATATCTGAGAATATAGCCTCAGGACTATATAGAACTACTTAAATCATAATTGTATTCTAGACTACAAAGCGCCCAATTAACCCCACAAAATTTCTGGTCTAATGAAGACAGGCAATACCAATTCAGTGTCCAATAAGGGAAATTTTGTCAGAACAGCATAATTAGCTTTCTCTTTTTATTGCCCCATATACAGGAGTAACCATAGGGGATAATTTCCAAATTTCTAGGGGTAATAAGGCGCTGGAAGTAGTTCATGTCAGTCATTTCAGCTATTTTCTCCAAAATATTGAAGGGAAAATCTAAGAGAAAATCACAAAATTTACAGGGGTAAAGCAATCCATCAAACATCCTGAAAGGGGAAAAGAAAGTTGAAACCCCTGGTGCAAGGCTATGTATAAGGCTATGTTTTATTTATTCCAAGGCATTCTCATCACATAGCAAAGGGGAAGTAACTCTTTTACACTAGAAGAGAAGAATTCTAAATTATAAAGTTAAAGGATAAGAGGAGATAACTCACCAGGTAAAACTGCCTCTTCAAACTCTGAAGGTGTTTTAACTTCATCTTTACTGGGTGGAGTTTCGTCAAAAAATGTGATATCTATTCCTAACTTATTCTTAGCTGCAGTAACATCTGCAAAATATTGCATGGTGCTGGCACGAGTTAACAATATAAAACTCTCAAGTTAACAATATAAAAACTCCCTAAGCTAACAAAATAAAAACTAAGTTAACAATATAAAAACTCCCTAAGCTAACAAAATAAAAACTAAGTTAACAATATAAAAAACTAAGTTAACAATATAAAAACTCCCTAAGCTAACAAAATAAAAACTAAGTTAACAATATAAAAACTAAGTTAACAATATAAAAACTCCCTAAGCTAACAAAATAAAAACTAAGTTAACAATATAAAAACTCCCTAAGCTAACAAAATAAAAACTAAGTTAACAATATAAAAACTAAGTTAACAATATAAAAACTCCCTAAGCTAACAAAATAAAAACTAAGTTAACAATATAAAAACTCCATAAGTTAACAATATAAAAACTCCATAGGTTAACAATATAAAAACTCCATAAGTTAACAATATAAAAACTCCCTAAGTTAACAATATAAAAAATAAGTTAACAATATAAAAACTCCCTAAGTTAACAATATAAAAACTCTCTAAGTTAACAATATGAAAACTCTGTAAGTTATCAATATAAAATCTCCATAAGTTAACAATATAAAAACTCCATAGGTTAATAATATAAAAACTCCATAGGTTAACAATATAAAAACTCCATAGGTTAACAATATAAAAACTAAGTTAACAATATAAAAACTCCATAGGTTAACAATATAAAAACTCCATAGGTTAACAATATAAAAACTAAGTTAACAATATAAAAACTCCATAGGTTAACAATATAAAAACTAAGTTAACAATATAAAAACTCCATAGGTTAACAATATAAAAACCCCATAGGTTAACAATATAAAAACTCCATAGGTTAACAATATAAAAACTCCATAGGTTAACAATATAAAAACTCCATAAGTTAACAATATAAAAACCCCATAAGTTAACAATATAAAAACTAAGTTAACAATATAAAAACTCCCTAAGTTAACAATATAAAAACTCCCTCACTCACTCAGTTAATGTTACAAAAACTCCATAAGTTAACAATATAAAAACTCTGTAAGTTAACAATATAAAAACTCTGTAAGTTAACAATATAAAAACTCTGTAAGTTATCAATATAAAATCTCCATAAGTTAACAATATAAAAACTCCATAGGTTAATAATATAAAAACTCCATAGGTTAACAATATAAAAACTCCATAGGTTAACAATATAAAACTAAGTAAC